AATCTTAGAAAAAACAAAAAAATCTAAAATAGGCCCCAAAACCGTCCCCCAACTATTTTTTGACTATTGTTGCATTTTCCTCCTGTAGAAGGACAGGCCCAACTTAAGCCAACGGCCAAGCTCGGTCGGGCTCCGTGAAGCGCACGCGGGTTCGCTGCTGGGCCCACTGCAGAAGAGCCGGGTCGTCGGTGCCTGCCGCTAGCGCTACCTGACGGGAGTCCAGGGCGCGATGCTGGAAATAGCTACGGGCTGCGTCCAACGGGCTGTTGTGGGCAAATGTGCACAGCACACCTGCCCCCAACATCTGAGTTGCATTGGAACATGTTCAAGGGCCCGACATCGTGCTCTTCCTGCTATACACTCGAGCTAAATCCGACGATGCGTCTGGTCCGCCAGAGTCGGAGCCAGGAAGAGAAATGCTGATTGCAAAGGTCCACTCGACGCCTGTCCTCCCTTTTCCAGTTCGCAGGATTCTGATACAGCGCGACCATCGTGCTAAAACGGTCGAGGAGTGCCCTCTCCAACCGGGAAGGCGAATCACATTCCCTGGGAATACATAGTGGGCACGTCTGCATTTGCCATGGATCTCTCGCGCAACCAACGGCTGCCTTTGCCATGCGATACGCTTTGCCATGTTCGGGGTTTCTGCGATGAGCGTCGTGTTTCCGCTCGTGCTCTGTCCCTAGCTCCAGGCGCGATGGCCCATGGAATCGGGCTTCCCGTCTGCCTCCACCCTGAATTCGGCTGCTCGCCCCAACCCCTCCACCCCCACCCTCTTTCCACGAACCTGCCGCTGCTTCTCATTATCTTTGAGATTCTGCAGCGATGACCGCAGGCAGCGACAGCATCTTGCCGCTCAGAACCTCCCTGACAGTGCACGCCCCAATCTCGCCGCAGATCACACGTGCCATTGTGCCTATTGAACCCCATTGCTCGCCTCTTCCTCCTCCTCCTCCTCCTCCTCCTCCTCCGACTTTTCACGGTCCCTCCCCATGCTCGTCAAATCCATGTCGGGTTTGGAGCCCGCTCATGGCGCGCGGGACCCTTCTACACAGTAGAAGTATGACCTTACCGCTTGCGAACCCCAGTCAATGCCTCCCCCACCCCGCTTTCCACTCTTCCCCTCATCCTCTCCCCCCCTCCTCCAACACTCCTTCTCGCACGTATATCCTCCTCTTCCTGTTCCTCCTCGCCTCCTCCACCTCGTCCTCACCTTCCTCGTACCCTTTGCGCGGCATGCAGCCAGAGACTACCAGCTCTGGCAGCGAGACTGTTTGCTGCACAATGGCGTTGCACCAATAAGGGCTCGGCTGTACGGGCACAGCGGGCAACAATAGCCGACCCAAGCACAGTGTACAGTCAAAGGCTTACTTAAAAAGCGTGTTATGGAACGAAGCGGCTTGGAAATCCTGCAGAACTTGTGGTCAAAAGACGTTACGTTGACCCATACGTAATAAATGTCGAACTTCCTGACGGAGCCAGAAAATCGATGGAACCGCGAGCCTCCACTGCGCCTGCCAACCCTGCGAGACATCCAACACAGCAGCGACAACAACCTCCCGCTCGCAGGGGAAGGCGTGCGTGCGAGGGCACACATCACACGCAATCGCTCTGAAGTCACGCCTTGCCCCAAAAAAACACGGAGATGTGCACATGCACGCACGGCTGGGAGACTGGCCACCCAAAGGGAGGCCGTGAGCATGCCCACAAGAATGCACGCCTTGCGCACATGGCAAAATCCTGCCAGGACGGCGTGTGATGGCGTGGGACATGGCCGCTGCCACCTCACGAGACCCTAGCCTTGATCAGCCTATCCGTTGCCAGGGGTGCTGCAATGCCGCCGCGGCGCCCCCGATCCTCAACCAAAAAACTGCGCCAGCGCCGCCGCAGCCCTGATACGGCACCAGAACGCGCACACGCGCACAGGAATGAGGGACAACGATAGGGGGGGACTGGCATAGGAGGGGAAACGTCGACTTGGATTCGACGATGCATCGCCGATGGATCAGCGGTCAGACCCCGATAATGAATCCGCAAGTTAATGGGCTGGGTCCCGAGCAAGGGCCACTGATTTGGCGATGGCGACTGGGCGACCCCCATGGAGTTGCACGATGAAGCGCCGATCCGGTCCCTCTCCATGAATCTGAAACTGCTGCGAGGCCACTTCTGCTGCGTCGAGCCACCCGGCGGCGGCGATGCGAGCGGCGGCGGCGGCGTCGACGGGCTGCGCGCAGGAGAGAACGAAAATGACGGGATCTAGCTCGCGATCCCCGTCCGATAGTTTGGCCATGTCCAATATGGGTGCCTGTGCTTCGCCGAGGCTGAGCTGCTGGCTGGTACGCTGGATTGCACTCCAGATCTCTTGGTGCTGGGCTTCTTGCTTTGCTTTTGCGGTCTTGATTCCAATGAGATCTTGTTTTTGGCCATCCAATCTGTGAGTCGTAGCTGCTTCGTGTCGCTGTAGTGCTGCGAGAAATTGAGTCTGCGAGGCTGAGGCGGCGTCGCCGACGGCTGCATTGATGGCGGCGCGCCGCGATGCCATGATCTGCTTGAGCTCGTGCTGAATATCTGGGGCGAGATTCGACTGTGGCCAAGGTGCGTCTGTAGGTGTGGCTGTGCTTTCTCCTGCTGGAACTGGTGCTGGAGCTGATGCCATTGGTCCAGAGCTGGCTGCGGTGGCGCTTGATGCTGTTGTAATAAGAGAGTGCTGCTGGAGCTTCGCGCCGTTCTCGTTCTCGCTGAGCTTGATGGGCGCGCCACTGCGCTTGCTCTTGAGAGGGGAAAATTGGTGCTATATCAAATTCCTCAAGGGCGGCTCGTTGCCGGGCTTCCCGGGTAGCATCCGGGTGAAATCCTCGAGGGGCTCCAGAGGCTTCGCGTCCGAGAAACCCTTTAGAGCGTCCACTATGTCCTTTGTGCGGCTGGCGTGATCCTTCGGAAGAAGAAGAATGGTGGCGTCTATCCCTATCGCGTCGGCGGCGTCGATCACGGTCGCGGTCTCTGTCTCTCTCGCCGCGTCTTTCAAGGTGTCTGCGTCGACCGCGTCGGTGCCCACTGGCTTGGCTTATGCCCTTAGGGTCACTTCGTGAAGATGCCGAGGCAGAATCTGCATCCATTCGGAAGTGTTGAGCAGAGCAAGACCATGCACCGCCTGTCCGACGCCATTCGAGAGAAAAGTCAATCCAAAGACATGCCATTGAATTAATAGAGTTAGTAATTGTGCGAAGGAGAGCTTCGCACTGCTGAAATGGAGCGGCTCCGCAGGCTGGGCAGCCGAGACGGGCCTGTGAGCCACGGAAAAGAACAGAGCTGAACGGCCAGCTGCATTGGGAAATGTTTTACTTGAGCCAAAATGACTTGAGCCAAAATGGCTACGGAGGAGGAGGAGGATTAGGTTAGGCACGCCAGAAAGGAGCAGCCACCCCAGGACAGGCACCGAAGCCCCTGCCTGACCCAGCCGTCCTAGTGGATTCAGTCTCGACAACATTCGGAAGAGGGAGGAGATCGGCGGCCGACGCCCGCTCCACGCCCCGCCTCCCCAGCCGCGCGGCTCGATGGTCATCCCCACGTTGGTGTCCAGGAGCGCGCCGAAAGCGCCGTGCTGCGCGTCGGGCGGCCAGGCGTTCAGCCACGGAACCCCGGGGGCCTTCCGAGCGATGAGCTAGCGATGAGCTGGAGGGAGATGTCGTTCTCTGTCTCGCGGCTCTGGGCGATGAGCGCGTCGGACTTGCCATGCGACTTCATCGAGGCCATGTGCTCCAGGGTCCGCTGCACCTGCTGCTGGACCACCTCCGTGGGGGGGGACGACCTCATTCGCCTGTCCCTTGACCGCCGCATTGCCCACCGCGGCCGCTGCCGCGGGTTGCTGACGCTCCCCAGCCGAGTCGACGTGCTGCAGGTCGCCTCGGCTGTCGACATGGGACGCCTTGCCGTCGGCGTCGGGTCCCTCACGGGCCGCTGCGGCGCTCCGATCACGCGGAGGAGCCTGCCGAGCCGCTGCCGCCGCCTGCGCGCCTGGGCCCCCGCCCAGCGCGCCAGCCGCCGCTGCGCCGCCGCCGTTGTGCCGCTGTTCCTGCTTGCCAGCGTCGAGGCCCGACCCGTCGGGCAGGGGCCCAGCACCACGCCTCCCGCGCCCGCGAGGCCGCTGGCGCCTCAGAGAGGGCGCTGCGGCCGCGGGCGGAGGAGGCGGCGCCGCCTTCGTGCCGAGCTCGACGATGGCTGCGCGAAGCAGCCCCTCAGCGGCGCGCAGCATGCGCACTCCCGCGCGGAGAGCGGCACGCCGCGGGGCCGCTGGCAGCACGCGCCGCCGGGAGCGCCCCGCGCGCTGCCTCGGCAGCGGCGCGAGGCCCGGAGGGACCGGCCCTTAGTGGGCCCTGGAAACGACAGGGCCGTTTTTTTACCGGTTCGGTTTTGCCGTTTTTGTTGCCGGTTCCGACGCCGTTTTTGTTACCGGTTCCGTCGCCGTTTTTTGACCGGCTCCGGCTCCGGCTCCAATCCTGGAGCCGTTTTTTTACCGTTTCCGGCCACCGTTTTTTTGCCGTTTCCATTTTCAAGGGGCACTTTCTGGGGAAACGGTGAAAAAACGGCCCTGCCGTTTCTGGGGCCACAAAGGACCGGCCATCGCTGCCCGTCCTCAGCCTCCGCCCGACGCCGAAACGCCAGGCGGGCAGGTCAGTGCGGGCGCGCGGCCTGCGTCGGGCGGGGGAGGCGCGCGGCGGGGCCGCGGGGAGGCCTGCACCAGTATGCCGACTGACAAGGAGGAGGAGGAGGAGGAGGAGGAGGAGGAGGAGGAGGAGGAGAAGGAGGAGGAGGAGGAGGAGGAGGAGGGGGGAGGGGGAGGGGGAGAAGGAGAGGAGAAGGAGAAGAGGAGGAGGAGGCGGAGGAGGAGGAGAAGAGGAGGACCTTGGTATCCTCCGTTTTCCCCCTTCCTACCTATGGTCGTGGTGTTGGAAAATCGGCCCGTCAAGCGAGGCGGGGTGAGCCCACCCCCCGTCGGTCTCCTCCAGCGAAGCACGCCTGGCTCCAAGCTCGTCGGCGCGCGCGGACGCTTCGGAGGACTTCTGGAGCGCGTCGGAGGACATCCGCTCCGCCTTGCGGCCGAGGCGGCCGCGGGACTATCGTGTGTCCTTCCCCCCGACGCCTCTTCTTCCTCCTCTCCTCCTCCTCCTCCTCCTCCTCCTACTCTCCTCCTCCTCCTCCTCCTCCTCCTCCGTCCCTCCCTCCCTCCTCCCTCCCTCCCTCCCCTTCCCTTCCCTTCCCCCTTCCTTCCCTTCCCTTCTTCCCTTCCCTTCCTTCCCTTCCCCCTTCCCTTCCCTTCCTTCCCTCCCTCCCTCCCTCCCTCCTCCCTTCTCCTCCTTGCCTCCCCCTCACTTCCTCTCTCCCTCCTCCTCCTGCTCCTCCTCCTCCTCATCATCCTCCTCCTCCTCCTCTTCCTTTTCCTCCTCTTCCTCTTCCTCCTCCTCCTCTTCCTCTTCTCCTCCCCTCCTCCTCCTCCTCCTTCTCTTCCTCCTCCTCCTCCTCCTCGTCCTCCTCCTCCACCTCCTCCTCCTTCTTCCTCCTACGCAACTTCGAAGGACAATTGACCCTCCTTCTCCTCTCCTCCTCCTCCTCCTCTCCTCCTCTTCCTTCTCCTCCTCTTCCTCCTCCTCCTCTCCTCCTCCTCCTCCTCCTCCTTCTTCTCTTCCTCCTCCTCCTCCACCTCCTCCTCTTCTTCCTCCTACGCAACTTTGAAGTACAATTTACCCTCCTCCTCCTCCTCCTCCTCCTCCTCCTCCTCCTCCTCGCAGGCGCGGCCGCTCGTCTGGGCTCGGATCCCGAGGCGCACGCTGAGGCTCCGCCTCAGGTTAGTCCCTGGCGCGTGCTTGGACACAGCCTCCTTGCTGCCCAGATTCGCGAGTGGCGATGCCCAGAGGGGGGACCCTGGGGCGCGTCCTCGTCAATGCTAGTTTGCACGACTTGTTGGAGTCACGCCACGTGCCCTGGTCGGGGCCATGGGCAATTAGCGCCCTGTCCGCCCAGGGACGGTGAGCCACCCCCGAGAGCAAAGAATGCACGCAGCCGCGTCGGCCGTGGGATGCACCCCCACTGGGCGTGGGATGCGGCCATCGACGAGGCATGCAGCCCGTCGGAGGCGGTACGGGCGTCCTGGGCCAGCCATTTCGGATTGGAAGGCGCCGCAGGGGGCCCTGTGGCCCGCACCGCCGAGCCTCCCCTAGGCCCTCATGTTCGGTGGGGCGCGCCATGCGCAAGAGTGGCACTGAGCGATGCCTTACTGGCATTCGGATTTCGCACGCGCGGCCAGGCTGAGGAGCTTGGCCGCGAGGCGCAGCGGCTGGCCGCGGAGCGGGCCAGCCGGCTCGCAGCCACGAGTGCCATTGAGGAGGGATAGTTGCTGTGGACCTCCCTCTTCTCCTCCTCCTTCTGGAGTCGCGCACCTCCTCCTCGTCCTCCACTTCCTCCTCCTCGTCCTCCTCCTCCTCCTCCTCCTCCTCCTCCTCCTCCTCCTCCTCCTCCTCCCCGTCCTCCTCCTCCTCCTCCTCCTCCTCCCCTCAGCCTCCAGAGCAGCAGCAGCAGCAGTCAGCAGCAGCAGCAGCAGCAGCAGCATCAATCATCATCATCATCATCATCATCATCATCATCATCATATCATCATCATCATCATCATCATCATCATCTCATCTCATCATCCATCATCATCATCATCGTCATCTTCCATCCATCATCTCATCATCATCATCATCATCATCATCATCATCAGCAGCAGCAGCATCATCAGTATCATCATCATCAGCATCCATCAGCCTCTCAGCCTCAGCATCATCATCATAACACATCCTCATCCTCCTCCTCCTCATCATCATCATCGTCATCATCATCATCATCATCGTCATCGTCATCATCATCATCATCATCATCATCATCATCATCATCATCAGCATCATCATGGTCGTCACCATCATCATCATCACATCATCATCATCATCATCATCATCGTCAGCATCATCATCATCATCATCATCATCATCATCATCATCATCATCATCATCATCATCATCATCATCATCATCATCGCAGCATCATCATCATCATCAGCAGCAGCATCATCATCATCATGAACATCATCATGTCCTCCTCCTGCTCCTGCCTCCTCTCCTCCTCCTCCTCTTCCTCCTCCTCAGCCTCCTCCTTCCTCCTCCTCTCCTCCTCTTCCTTCTTCTCCTCCTCCTCCCCCATCCTCCTCCTCCTCCTCCTCCTCCTCCTCCTCCTCCTCCTCCTACTCCTCCTCCTCCTCCTCCTCCTCCTCCTCCTCCTCCTCCTCCTTTCTAGCATGGACGATACACAAATACGTTTAATGCGAGCGAGGTCTTCTGGCCACCACTCATTTCCCCAGTCGACCCAGGAGCGTCCCATTTAACTGGCACTTAAACCATCGAACCGGGGAATGAAGCACTGCCGGGGGGGCGCGGGCGCATCTCGCGCTCGCGAAGGTCGCGCGGTTCCCGGGGGCACGTTGCGCCCCCGGGGCTCGCAGGGCGCAAGGGGCCCACTGGCCGCGAGAGGGCGGCGAGGCTCACGGAGCAGGCGCGGCTCTCAGGGCCCTCGCGCTTCATTGGGGCCATGGGGCTTATAAGCTTATTGGGGCCGTGAAAGTGGCGGAGCTCGCGAGGCGCGCCGCGCCCGTGAGGCTTGCGGAGTTGGCGGGGATCGCGGCGTTCATGAGCCAACGAAGCCCTTGGGGCCCATGGAGGTCACGGGGCTCCAACGGCTCAGCGGGTTCGCGTGGCCCGCAGAGCTCATGGGGCCTATCGGGCTCGCAGGGCTCGCAGGGCCGATTGGGATCGCGGGGCCCCAGGTGCCCCGCGAGCGGGCGGGTCACAGGACTCAAAGGGCACTCGGGGCGCACCGGGCTCGCGCGGCTCACAGGGCTCATCTCATAAGACCCTTGGGACTCGCAAGGCTCATCGGCCCCGCGGGGCTTGCAGCGCTGGCGGGGCGCGCGGAGCTCGCGGAGCTCGCGGGGCCCATGGGGCGCGCGGGGGCCGCCGGGCCCACGGGGCTCGCAACGGTCGAAGGCCCCCGCGCCTCATCGGAGGCGCGGGGCTCATCGGGGGCCGAAGATGCCACGGGCCAACGCCGCAACTCCTGGCATGCGAGCCGCAGCCCCTGACCCAGGCGGGAGCGGAAAGGCGCGAAACCGAGCGGGGCGCGCCCACTCCCGGCCGCTTTCGCGGGGCCAGGGCAGCGCGAGCACGCTCGACAACGACGCGCCGCAACGAAGAGGAATGAAATCGACCAGGGCACATATGGGGGCCCCATGGGGCTCATGGGACTGATCGGGCCCACGGGACTCATCAGGCTCGCGGGCTCCTGGGGCTCACGGGGCCCGCGGGGCTGACGGGGCTCGCGCGGCGTGCGGGGCGCGCGGGGCCCATGGGGCTCGCGGAAGTCACGGGGCTCATGGGGCTCAAAAAATCAGCGGGGCCCATGGGGCTCGCAGAGCTCGTGAGCTCGTAGAGTTACGTTGCCCCCATCGCACTTAAGAACCACATCGCATAAATAATTTCGAGCACCCGGAAGAGCGTCGAGAGAACGTCGAAACAATGTCGAAACCGTGTCGGACGAGTCTCTCCGCTGGCCCGACACGTGAAAACCTTCGAGTTGTGGTACTTCTGCGGTGCTCGGAATTCTTTCTGGCAGTCAAGGCGAAAGTAGGTTGGAGCATCATAATCGCAGAGCTCGCAGGGCTTGCTCGCAGGGCCCTCGTGGGCTCACTGGGCTCGCGAGGCAGAGTTGCCGGAGGCAGAGTTGCCGGGGCGCGCGGGGCCTCGGAGGCTCGCAGGGCCCCCGGGGCTCGAAGGGCCCATGAGCTCATGGGGCTTTCAAAGGTCGCAGAGCCCATGGGCCTCGCAGGGCTCGCTGGGCCCACGGCGCTCGCAAGGCTCGCAGGGCCCGCCCTGCCCGCGGGGCCCACGGGGCGCGCGGGGCTCGCCGGGGCCGCGAGGGCCCGCGGAGGTCATGGAACTGACGCGGCTGGAAGGGCTCGCAGGCTCATGAGTCTCAGAGGGCCCCAGGGCCTCGCAAGACTCACGCGGCCCATTGGGCTCGCGGGGTTCATCGGGCGCGACGGGGTCGACGGGCCCACGAGGCCCGCGGGGCCCGAAGGAAAAGAGTGAGAAAGTCACAGGAGAAGGGGGGGCGCGAAGCGGCCGGGCGGCGCGGGCGCGGGGCAGTCAGCTCGCGTCAACGTGGGCGGGCGCCCTCGCCCTCGCGGCGCTTCGGCTGGCGCGGCCGCGTGCGGAACACCGCTGTAAGGCCACGCAAAGGCGGCGGCTTCTACGCCGAGGAAAGGCGCCATTTTATCCACTCGAGGCATCGGCGCGCCGCAGCGAAGCCGGGGGGCCCCAATTCGGCGGCGCCCGCGGACGTGCCAGGGCGATAACGAACGATGGCGCCCCAGTCCTCGTCGCACCGCGCAGCGTCTGCAGCTCTGGGCGCCAGCGCATGAATCAGCCGGCCGAGGGGCGGCGGCCGCGGGCGCGCGCGCGCCCCGCGCGCAAGACGGGGAGCTTCGTCGTCGCTTGTCGACGGTCAGGTCGAGGACGCGCGGCGCTCTGGTGTCAGCTTGCAGGTCGGCCGCGGCGCTGGCATGCTCGAGCAGGCTCTGCACGCCCCCGAGCGACGCGCCCCACTGGGTGTCCTGCGCGGGGCACGCGCGGATAGCGGCCGCCCAGGCGCGCGCGCAGTGGCCTTTTGTCGGATCGGTGGAAGCCGCGCGCAGCGCCGCGAGAGCGGGAGGCACAGGCTGGCGGCAAGGGGCGATATGCTGCGCAGACACCCGCCAGAGCGCGCGGGATGCGCTGCAAGCGACAGTGGATCGGGGCGTGTCGCGCGCGCGGAACATGGCAACCACACCGGCGCGCTGGCCCAGTCTAGTCTCCAGACAGGTTCTCTGGGGGGGGGCCAGCAACATCTGCTGACGTCGAGTCTGTGTCCAGAACCGCCAGCGCGCCGGCGATGGGAAGCATGGGGGGGGCTGCCGAAGCTCGAGCGCCATCAGCAGTGGGCAAAGACGGGCTCGTCTCGGAGGCCGCCGGCGCATCGACGACGGCGAGCACGGGAGCTACAGACGAAGGTTCGGCAGTGGCGTCCTCATCCAGATGTAGTGTCTGAAGCTCAGCCTCCAACATTCCATGTCGCCGCATAACCCACGATACGTCCGTTCACGGCCGTGGGTTTGATTGTTGCCAGTGCGTTGTCAATCGTTGGAGCAAGACAACGGGCCCCATGACCGGGAGCGCCGTGAGCGCGGCAAGTGCATGTCAGAGTTGCCCGCGACGCAGTGACAGTAGCGTCGTCTAGCGTGTCCAAAGCTAGCACGTCGCCTTCTGTGGATCGATGTTCGCGTTTGGCTGGCGGGCCTGCTGCCGCGCGGACTGGAGTGGCAGCAGAGCACCAAGCGAAGGAACCTCGAGCTCAATGGCGACTGGAGCGAGGCCAGAAGCAGATGTTTGCGCGAAAGACTCGGGCTCGCGGGGGTCGCGGGGCCCGCAGGGAGCTCAGTGGGCTCATGGGTCCGCTGGGCTGAAGGGGCACAAAGAACTCTCAGAAGAGGAGTCCCGGGGGGCCGCTTGGAGGGCACTCAGGGCCCATAGGCCGCAGAGGGCTCGCAGGGGGGAGAAGGGGATGGAGGGGTCGGAGGGTCCATGAGCCCATGAGGATGATGAGGTTCGGAGGGTTGGAAGGTTCACGAGGTCGAAAGGAATACAAGGTCATGTGGCGCATAAAGAACATAGGGGTGACAGAGCTTGTAGGGTTTCCGGGAGAGGGCTCTTGAGAACGGCTTAGGAACTTTGAGGGCGTCATAGGGGGCCTCTTGGATGCTTCTGGGCTCTTAAGGGGCCTCTGAGGGCGTCTTTGGGGCTCCGTTGCAGTGTGCAGGACCATCTTCGGGGGGAGGGCTCGATATGTCAATTCGGTTTAGCCTGTTTCGGGCGATCTTCAGGCGTCTTGCGGAGCTTATTGAACAGTCTGGGCGCCTCTTTGGGCCATCCGGCGGCCTCCTAAGGACCCGCGTTCGTCCAGGAAAATGCGAGCACGTTGAAATGCATTAAAAACCGCATGAAAATCTGAATGTTCTGACCTCAGGAACCCTCTTGGGGGGCATATTGGGGCTCTCGTGGGCTCGAGCATCGCAACCCGGACGCCAGAGCCCGTAGCATACACCTGAAACCATGACATCTCAACCCTAACTCAACCATCGGAGCCCGAAGACCCCAATCCGAGCGCTCGTGGGCTCGAGCATCCCAACCTGACCGCCAGAACTCCCCACCGTAGTAGCATACACCTGAGCCCTGACATCCCAACCCGAACCCAACCTCCGGAGCTCGAAAACCCCAACCCGAGCACCCTGACTTAGATACCCGAGTCCTCACACCCCAACCTGAGCACCATGACTCGAACACACGGACGCCCGAACACCCTCATCCAAACACCCGAGCAAGTGTACTTAGAGGCTTGTGGGCAAGACCCTGGAGGGGGAATTCACGTGTTGGGCGTCTCTGCGCCTTCGTGGGGGTCCTAGAGGGGCCCTTTTGAACAGTTTTCCAGCCCTCTTGGGCCGTCCTGGGGCCCTGGGTTGTCTTGCCGGGCTTGGGCCGTATTGGGGCTTGCTTGCGCGCCCTCTTGGGAGCCTCGCGTGGACTTCTCGGGCCGCATTGGGGCATTCTTGGGTGGTCTTGGGGCCGTCCAGGGTCGTCCCAGGACCCTCTTGGGCCGTCTAGGGGTGAATTTTTGGGGCCTCTTGGGATGTCTTGTTGCGAGCTACCGGGCCGTCGGGGCCGCTCTTGGGCAGAAACGCGGGAATCAGAAAATCGTCGAAGAATCGTCTGAAAAGTAGTCAGTTTGCCTCCTCTAGCCCTCTGGGGGGTCCTCTTGGGGGCAGTTTGGGAGCGTCTGGGGAAGCCTCGCGCGCCAACTGGAGGCCGTTTTGGAACGCCCTGGGGCCGCCTCGGGGCTTGTTGGGGCCCCTCTCGGGCTGTTCTTGGAGCGGTCGAGGGCCGTTCCAGTGTCAGTGGGACCGTCCAGAATCGAAAATTGGATCTTCACATCGGTGGGAGTGCCCAAAGCCGAATTGACGTACCGGAGGGGCCCCTCATGAGAATACTATGAGATACCACATGTGTAAATATACACACACACACACAAACACATACACATTAGATACGCTGGTATCAGAATATATGTTCATGTATTTCCTCTTCATCCACCCTCCCCGTAATCATAGTCAGAATCAGCATGGTCAGCATCACCACCACCACCACCACCACCACCAGAATCACTCTCCAGGCCCTCCTCATCCCCCTCTCCCTCCTCCATCCTCACCTCCCTGCCCCCCCCATCATCCCCGCACTCCCCACGACCCGTGACCCCTCCCACCTCCGGCGTCGCTCGTCCCTCCTCCCGCCTCCTCCCGTCGAAGCTGCGGGCCTCCTTCAGCCTCTGGTCCAAGGCTGCCGCTCTCGCCTCCTCCCTGGCGGAGGTCTGGTGCATCATCTCCTCTTTGGGGGCTCTGCCAAGCAGAGGGGAAAAGAGAAGGCCGAGCGGGGAGGAGGAGGAGGACGACGAGGAGGAGGAATAGGAGGAGGAGGAGGAGGAGGAGGAGGAGGAGGAGGACGAGGAGGAAGGAGGAGGAGGACGACGAGAAGGAAGGAGGAGGAGGAGGAGGAGGAGGAGGAGGTAGGAGGAGGAGGAGGAGGAGGAGGAGGAGGAGGAGGAGGTAGGAGGAGGAGGAGGAGGAGGAGGAGGAGGAGGAGGGACCAAGAAATGCCTCGCACTTTGGTGGTGCAAGGGATTACCGGGATCTGACCTGGGGCGGACCAGGCCGAGAGGCTCGGCGCATGCCGCGGGCCAACCGTCCACGTCCGCGTTCTGCAGCAGGCTGAGGGGGTCTCGCGCCAAAATGGCCAGGACAACGCAAGAGAAGCGGCCGAGGAGGAGGACGGGGAAGAGGGAAAACAGGAGGACGGGGGGGGGAGAAGGAGCAGGAGAAGGGGGGGGGGGGAGAGGGTGGAGCAGAAGGAGGAGGACTTGAAATTGCCTCAAACTGTTTTCATATAGCGGACCCCGCTCGCCAGCCCCCGAGCTCATGGGAAACGCGGGGAGGAGGAAGAGAACGGAACGGTACGGGCCGATAACGATCCGTTGCAATATTCCTCGGGGCAGGTCTGGCTACAAGCGTGAAAAATGAATCGGATGGATATTCGCACTGCCACGCTAGGAGTAGGAGGAGGAGGAGGATGACGATGACGAGGACGATGTGTAGGACGAGGCGGAGGACGAGGCGGCAACGAGGAGCAGGACGAGGACTGGGAGCAAGAGGTCCGTCTGTCGATTCATCGACCTATCGAAGTGGGCGCGCGACGATGTCGGCGGCGCCTGAACAGATAACGAAAGCTCACCGCAGCGGCGAGCTATGCCCCCAGCGACTCAGTCACAATCCCAAAGAAGCTCGGGCCCCGCGCGCTGCCAAACCTCGAGCCGGCAGCAGTGACCCCGCACCGCCTCGGCAGATCCCCGCGCAGCCCGCCCGGGACCCCCGGGCGGGCTGGACAGGCAGGCGAGAGGACCGAGCCGACGCTCCGCCAGGATCACGAGGGGCAGCATGCAAGGGACGAGGCCCCGAACGAGACACGGGACGCCAGGTCCGCGGACGAGGGCTCCGCGTAAGGCTCCGAACGAGGCAGGTCCGCGGACGAAGGCTCCGAGCGCGGCACGGGACGCCAGCCCCGACACAGGGGCCCCCCAGAGGCGGGCAAGCGCCCCCGCGGGCCCGGGTCGGCCGGCGCCCCGCGTGCTCAGCGGGCGGCCTCTCCTGCGGCGCGCCCTCGCCAGGGGGCAGCGGGCCGGTCCACGCAGAGCCTCCCCGGGCAGAGGCAGCGGCAGACGGTGCACCCGAGCACCGTCAGAACAGCAGCACCAGTCCAGTCGAGGAGGAGGAGGAGGAGGAGGAGGAGGAGGAGGAGGAGGAGGAGGAGGAGGAGGCTCGCAGGGGAGCTGCTCGCAGGTGGCCTGGAACCCGCCACAGGGGCTCTGCGATGGATCACACAGGGGCAGACGTCGTGGTCCTCTGGCGTTGGCGAGCAGGCACTCTGCGAGAGTCGTGGAGCGCGCTCGGCGGCAGCCGCACGCAGGGGCGGCCCGAGGCTCGTGCCCGAGGAGCGGCATGCAGCAGCAACATGCTCGGGATCTCCTGAGCGCCACGGGCTGCGGAGCCCCCGAGCTCCTCCTCCTCCTCCTCCTCCTCCTCCTCCTCCTCCTCCCTCCTCCTCCAGCGCCACGCCGCCTCTATGGAGCACGCGTCGAGAGCCACGGGAGGGGGGGGGCGGCATTCGCGGCGGCGGATAAAGGGAGCGAGCAATGGCATAAGCATAACTATTACACCAGAGAAAAGCCCCCAATGAGTTGATAGTTTGATGAGATCGATGGTGAGATCGATCGAGTGAGATGAATAATGAGATCGATGATGAGATCGACATTGACTCGTGGGATCGATAAAGAGATCGAGGAGGATATCGACCGGGAATAACTCGGAGGTCCGCGCGGATTTCTCGGATCGGCGCTGGGCCCCATGGCGGCGACTCCGGCGACGCCCCTGGCACGCTCCACGCGCCAGGGAGGGGGGGCCAGCGCGGATCCGAGAAGTCCGCGCGGACCTCCGAGTTTTGATGTTTACGCCATTTTTCGGTTCCCTAGTTCCCCTGCATCTCCCAAACCGTCGTCCGCCCCACTTCCACGTCACTCTGGGCCGCGTGATTATTGTGGGCCACGGGGCCCGAATCAAGCCTCTGAAAATCATCCTGGCGAGGGACCCGGCCATGTGCACTAGTGAATACCGCGTTGTGGGTACCAGTTTCGGTGAAGCTCCCTATGGGGCCAGGAACGTGTGAGGGGTGTGCCAAAATGGGCGCGGTGCCGCCATGCGAACGCGGCCGCTGGGGCCTTCGGTGGAGCTCCCTGTGGGACCACGATCCTCGTGAAGGGTGTGCCGGAGTGGGTGCGGTGCCACCATGCGAACTTTTCCACTCGTGCCTGAGGTGGAACTCCCTATGTGGTCACGGAACATGTGAGTGCGGTGCCGACGTGGGTGCGGTGTCGCCATACGACGCCTGCATTTGGGGTCCGTTGGGGCTCCTGATGGGGCCACGATCTTCGTGAGGGGCGTGCCAAAATGGGGGCACGAAACGCGTGAGGGGTGTGCATGAAGGAGCGCGGCGCCGCCGTGCGAACCAGCCGCTAAGGCCTTCGGTGGAGCCCCGTGTTCGGCCACGATCCTCGCGAGGGGTGTGCCGAAATGGGCGCGGTGCCGCCGTGCAGACGCAGCCACGGGGGGCCCTCGGCGGAGCTCCCTATAGGGCCACGAAACGTGAAAGGGGCGTGCCGAAATGCATGTGGGTCCGTCGGGCCTCCCCATGGGGCCACGATCTTCGCGAGGGGTGGGCCGACGTGGGCGCGGTGCAGCCATCCGAACGCGGCCGCCGGGGCCTTCGGTGGACCTCCCCCTATGGGGCCACGATCCTCGCGAGGGGCGTGCCGAAAGGCGCGCGGTGCCGCAATGCGAACGCAGCCACGGGGGCCTTCGGCGGATCTCCTCGTGGGGGCTACGAAACGTGTGAGGAGTGTACCGACAGGAGTGCGGCGCCGACTTGCGGACGCAACCACGGGGGGGGGGCCTTCGGTGGAGCTCCCCATGGGGCTACGAAACGTGTGAGGGGCGAGCTGGAATGAAGGGCTGAAGCAGGGATGGGAGGGGGGGGGGCAGCGGGAGGGGGAGAAGAAAGAAGACGCGGGGCGCTGTCTCTTCAAAACGACGACCCAACACCACATAATGGTTGGGAGCAAATCCATTCCCCCCCTCAAGTGTCCTCCAGAAACTGGGCGGTCGGGGCTCCCGAAGCACATGATTAAAATTAGTTTGAATCTACACACACACACAACTACCCAATCGTAAGTTCTCCCCATCATCCTCTTATTCCTCCTCATCCGTCTCCCCTTCGCCACCAGCCAGGGAGGAGGAGGAGGAGGAGGAGGAGAACGGACAAGATACACATAATAAAGGATGATGACAAGACAGCAGGGAGGAGCGATGGGATGAGAATGACAACGACGACGAGGCTAAAAATCGGATGCGCCAACGACGCTGTAATACACCCTCCCACTCCATGGCTTCTCCTCAGAAGCCTTATCGGCATTCTTCTTCACCACGGGAGGTTCCCCCCCTGAGCGCCAGACGCCCCACTGGACGGTCACTCGGGCGAAAGCTCCAAGCCGCCCGGAGAAACGCGACGAGGCATGGCCAGGAAGTTAAGTGAAGTGTCCAGCGAGAACGTGGACGTTTTCTTATTCGGCGTTTCGCCATTGAGCGGAAAGGGGGGGAGGGGGGGTCTGGCTGCAGAACATAACCTGGTTTCGCTGGCGCTGGTTTCGCCAGCGCTGGTTTCGCCCCGCTGGTTTCGCCGACGGCTGGTTTCGACGGCGCTGGATTTGCCGGCGCTGATTTCGCCCCGCTGGTTTCGCCGGCGGCTGGTTTCGCCGGCGGCTGGTTTCGCCGGCGCTGGTTTCGCGAGCGCTGGTTTTGCCGACGCCGTCGTCGCCGACAGCGTCGGCGTCGCCGCCGCCGCCGCCGCCGCCGCCGTCGTCGTCGTCGTCGTCGTCGTCGTCGTCGTCGTCGTCGTCGTCGTCGTCGTCGGGCGTCGGGCGTCGGACCCGAGCGAGCGGGTCGGGTCGGGCAGGCGGACCCGAGCAGGCGGGTCGGGTCGGGTCGGGCTGGCGGACCCTAACGGGCGGGTCGGGTCGATTAAAGTGTGGAGCACGCTCGACCGAGCACGCGCGAACCACAACGGGCGGGTCGGGTCGGGCGGGCGAGCCCTAGCGGGCAGGTCGGGTCGGGTCGGGCGGGCGGACCCTGACGGGCGGGTCGGGTCGGGCGGGCAGGACATGAAAATGTGGGGAACGCTCGACCGAGCACGCGCGAACCCAAACGGGCGGGTCGGGTCGGGCGGGCGGACCCTAGCAAGCGTGTCGGGTCGGGTCGGGCGGGCGGACCCTAACGGGCGGGTCGGGTCGGGTCGGGCGGGACGTTTAAAGTATGGGGCACGCTCGACCGAGCACGCGCGAACCCAGACGGGCGGGTCGGGTCGGGCGGGCGGACCCTAGCGGGCGGGTCGGATCGGGCAATTTCGCCGACGGCAGCTGGTTTCGCCGACGGCAGCTGGTTTCGCCGACGGCAGCTGGTTTCGCCGACGGGAGCTGGTTTCGCCGACGGCAGCTAGTTTCGCCGGGCAGCGAAACCAGCCGGGCGAAACCAGCTGGGCGAAACCAGCCGTCGGCGAAACCAGCGGTTGCTGGCTCCAGATCTCTGCTTAGTGCGGCTGTTTGGAACAAGGCTCCCATCGGGAATCCCATGGGGAGCCGTCCACCCGCTTGAAACGGGCGCCCAAAATAGCCAAGATCTACTCCATGGAGGGGAGGGGGGGAGGGGAGGCGGGGAGGGGTGCGAGGGCCCGAGCCGATCGGCAAAACAAGGAGTAAACAGACTACAGCAGCCCCATTTTGAAAAAGGGAGAACGCCCTCCAGAGGTGCAGATGCTGTGTGCCGTGACGCGCCCTGCCGTGCATGCTGAGGACGTCTCCGGCGGGAGCCCCCGCCTCTGAGAAGGAGCCGCCCCACCCTCCGCGCCTCCGCAGGAGGAGGAGGCGGAGGAGGAGGAGGGAGGAGGAGGAGGAGGAGGAGGAGGAGGAGAGGAGGAGGAGGAGGAGGAGGAGGAGATGCCTGGGACACGCGCGTGCGCGGCAGGGCGACCGCCGCGTCTTGGAGACGGATCGCCCCTCCGCCTCTGTGACCACCGAGGGGGCCCGCGGCAGGAGCGCGAGGCACACGCCTCGAGGGCACGGCCCGCCCTCCATCACCAGAACTGCCCTGACCGCCATACCGACACACGTCTGGTGGCGCGACGAGGAGTGACTCCCGCAGGAAGACGTATTGAGGAGGAGGAGGAGGAGGAGGAGGAGGAGGAGGAGGAGGAGGAGAGAAGAGGAGAGAAGAGGAGAGAAGAGAGAGAGAGAGAGGGAGGAAAGGAGAAGGAAGGAGAGGAAGGAGAGGAGAGGAGAGCAGAGGAGAGGAGAACAGGAGGAAAGGAGGAGGAGGAGAAAGAGGAAGAGGAAGCGGAGAGGAGGAGGAGGAGGAGGAGGAGAGGAGGAGGAGGAGGAGGAGGAGGGATGGAGGAGGAGGAGGAGGAGGAGGCGGGATGTAGGAGGAGGAGGGATGGAGGAAGAGGAGAAAGGAGTCGCTCCATGAGGAGCTCGTCAAGCTCGACGCGCACAGCGGCCTTCGACTCCTCGATGCGCGCCTGCTGGGGAGGGTCGATGGGAGCGGGGGGAGGGGCAGCAGCTCCTCCTCCTCCTCCTCCTCCTCCTCCTCCTCCTCCTCCTCCTCCTACTCCTGCACGGAGAGGGGATGGTACGGCCAGACCTAGGACAGAAGAACAGCCATGCGAGGCGGGGATTTTTCTCCGTATCCACCGCCTGGGAACCGACGTCCTGGTGCCCCGGCGGGCGGGCGGTGGGTATGGACATGTGTTGGCCCCTGGGGGGCCCGAAGATGTCCGTATCCACCGCCTGCCAAGGTCCCCGAAAAGTGATCCTCCAGGCGGTGGCCTGCCAAGGTCCCCGAAAAGTGATCCTCCAGGCGGTGGTCATGTATAAATTCTTGCCTCGGAATCCTTCAAGAACATGGGACCCTCCCCTGGCGAAAACACCCCAAACCACAAGATCATTGGGGGGTGCGGGGTGCCCTCCTCCAGGATGCACAAAAACGTCCAACACACACAGTATGAGGGTACACTCCCTGAGGCGACCTCGATCTTCTGCCTCGGTCTGGCCGTAGGAAGGAAGGAGGAACGAGGACGAGCTCAGGGGGTGATGTGGTCTTGACTGGGCCCCTGTGGGGTCCAGGGGGGGGCAGCTCGGGTGTTGTTCGGGGGCTCCTCCTCCTGCCGTTCGCCCGCCACTTCTCCTCCTGGCTCTATCCTCCTACCTTTGCGCGTGTTACTTAGTCCTCCTCCCGTTACTCGTTCTCTCTCTCTCTCTTGTTTCTCTCCCTGTTATTTACCTCTTGTTGTTGTTTTGTATTGTTTCTCTCTCTCTCTCTCTTGCCAGTGCGCGTGGTACTTGTCCTCCCGTTCTCTCTCTCACTCTCTCTCCCTCCCTCCCTCCCTCCCTCCCTGCCTCCCTCTCTCCCTCCCTCCCTCCCTCCCTCCCTGCCTCTCCGCCTCTCCCTCTTCGGCTCTCGCCATCCTCCCCGCGGCAGGGCCCCGCAGGCCGGGGGAGGGCCCGCCGGGTCAGGGCCCCCGCGCGCCAGCGCAGACTAGACGACTGCGGCGTGGGCCGTGGGCGCGGCATCTCCTCCGGGAGTGCAGCGCTCCGCCCCGCCGAGGTGCTGGGGGAGTACGAGGAGGAGGAGGAGGAGGAGGAGGAGGAGGGGGAGGAGGAGGAGGAGGGGGAGGAGGAGGAGGAAGGAGGAGGAGGAGGAGAAGGGTAGGAGGAGGAGGAGGAGGAGGAGGAGGGTAGGAGGAGGAGGAGGAGGAGGAGGAGGAGGGGGAGGAGGAGTTGAGCATCGTTTCGACGATCCTTATCCCCGCGGGCGTCGCCCAGGCCCCACTGGCCGATGTACTTCCCTGGATGGGGATGCAGGCGGGTCCCATCGGGTTTCGAGGGGTGCATGCCCAATTGGAATGGTGGGATTGTGGGGATCGGGACGGGGATGGGGATGGGCATCGATAAAACGATGTTAGACGATACTGGTTTTGCAGCCTCCTGATCTCAGGTCGGCGGGACGCAAAGGTAGGGTTGGGGGGAAAGATGCTCTGGAAGAAGGTAATGTGAGCATCCAGCTGGGCGCATTCCCTAACCCCACCCTGGGACCTCCCCCCTCTACAGACCCCCGAACAAAAGCTCTGATCCTCTCCCCCTTGAGCAGGGACCGACCGTCCCGGCATCCTACTGGCCTGCCACGAAGTATTCTTGGAACCCCCGAGTGTTCTACGAACCCAAGCACGGTCTCCAGAACAGCAGCCCGACGTGGGAAAGCCGGACCCTCTCGGCCAGACACGCTTTGAGGACATGCCGTGCAGACCACAGACAGAGGACTGGAACATCCTCTGGTCGGCCCAGAGGCCCACCGAGACGCCCCCCGCCACTGCCCGACCCCCGTCGCCAGGCCGGGAGGCGGCGCGGGGGGGGGGGCAGGCGCCCCGCTCCGCCGGGCGGCGACGCGACGACCGGCCAGCACGCCGGCCTGGAGCCACTCGCACATGTCGTGCAGCGACTGCCTGCGCTGGCCCCCCGCGGGGAGCGGGGTGGGGGGGAGGGCGGGGAGGCGAGAGGGAGGAGTCGGGTCGAGTCGAGCTCGTGGGCAATTGTCCTGGGCCCGAGAGGGGGCGAGGAGGAGGAGGGGGAGGAGGGGGAGAAGGGTGAGGAGGAGGAGGAGGGGAGGGAGGAGGAGGAGGAGGAGGAGGAAGAGGAGGGGGAGGAGGGGGAGGAGGAGGAGGAGGAGGAGGAGGAGGAGGAGGAGGAGGAGGAGGAGGAGCGCACGTAACTGGGAAGACGGTGTCTCCGCTACTGCGCAGCACCAGCAACGCATGGCACCCAACGCAGCAGCTCGTAATGGGTCGTGATATGAAGGCGAAGCGCTCTGAGGGTGCCGCGCAAGGTTCGCTTTCAGCTCATGGTAGATGTGAATGCTGAGGACCACGAGTTGATGGCATCGTTTTCGGGGGTGCTCGATCTCGCAATCGGGATGGGGGTCGAGCCCAAGACGAGTGAGAGGACACGAGGGGGGGAAACCACGAGGGAGAGGAGCGAGAAGGCGAAGGAGAAGGGGGGCAAATGAGAAGATGGGCGAACGAATCTTGGGCGTCGCACGACCGAGGAGACACGGGACAGTTGCGGCGCCAAGGATTCGCTGGGGTGTCGTCCAAGCCCCTGCTGGGTCACGAGATGCGCCCGCGCCCATGCAGGGGGGGAGCGGGCCAGGACAGTGCTTGAGCAGGGACCGACCGTCCCGGCATTTCTACAGTCCTACCACGAAATATTCAGAACCCAATAATTTTCTAAGAACAAAAAAGATGTTCTTAGAACATATTCCCGATGTGCTAAAATGAGACAGTCCTGGCCAGACACGTTCTAAGAACATTTCGCGGAAACCACGAAAGGTTCTTAGAACATTGTGCGGTAGGACTATAGGCACGCCAGGACGCTTCGCCACTGCTTGAAGTTCGGAGCTCCCCCGATCGGATCTCCGGACCGGCAGGCGGCCGCAGCGAGCAAGGGGGGAGCCGGGAGGACAGACGGCGAGGAGCCTCCGCGCACGTATTTTCACGTGCCAAAAAATCGACACCCCCAAGTTGGGTCCCCCTGGGGCCCCGTGGGCGCGGCACGCGAAAACACATGCCCCGCGCGCGCGCCAGGCGCATGTCGCCCCCCCCCCCCCCTTCGCGCACGTCTGTTCAGCGGATAAAGAATTCGACACCTGCAAATTTGAAGGGGCCCTGGGGCACACAAATAAATATACACAAATAAAAAGATTCCCCATATCTTCCTATATGTTCTGGGTTTTCGTCTTCCCGCCCAATTACCATATTTTCCCATATCTTCTTGGGGGCCAACGAGTAATTGTGTCTGTGTGTTTCTTTTCCTCCTGCAAATTGGGCGCCTCGCCCGCGGCCCCGCCGTGGCCCGAAGACACGTGAAAGCGCGTGCCCCGCGCGCACGCGCCAGGCGCCTGCTGGGCCCCCCTCCGTCGGGCCCCCCCCTCCGCGCACGCATTTTCTTAACGGGCGAAGAAAAATATAAAATAATTGTTTCCGCTGTCGGGGGCGCCTGTCCCTGGGCGGCTGGAATGTTTGTACCTCTACGGTGGCAAAGTAGGGGTATAAACTTTCCAGCCGCCCAGGGACAGGCGCCCCCGACAGCGGAAAAACTTACATTATACCGTTCTTCGCTCGCTGATTTTCACGTTCAAAGAACTCCCCGCCTCCACATTGGGCCCCCCTGGGGCCCCGTGAAAACACGCGCCTCGCGCGCGCGCCACGCGCACATTGGCCCCCCCCCCTCCGCGCACGGGATGTTTCAGCGCGCGAGGAGCCCGCGAGTCGGGTGCCCCGCCCGCGGCCCCGTCGGGGCCCGAGGCGCGTGGAGCCAAGCGCCGAACGCACGCGTGCCGGGACTCGCGCCTGGAGACCCTTCCCCCTTGAAGGGGCCCTGGGACACACAAATAAATACACACCAATAAGAATATTCTCCATCTTTTTACCTAACAACGAAGACTGATAGGTTTCTAGTGGGGTCAAAAGAGAGCATCTTGACGCCCCAGGGGGGTCCGGGCAGGATCCGGGGAGAAGCCGCGGACGTCGATTTAAACAAACGTTTATACACTTCGTGGTCTTCGAGGTCCCAGAACTCCATTCCTGGGCATGATTTTGAATGCCCGGAGCCAACCGTAGGCCACTTCGTGGTCTTCGAATTCCCAGAACACCATTGCCAGGCCACATTTTGAATGCCCGGAGCCAACTGTAGGCCACTTCGTGGTCTTCGAATTCCCAGAACACCATTCCCGGGCCACATTTTGAATGCCCGGGGCCAACTGTAGGCCACTTCGTGTTCTTCGTGTTCCCAGAACTCCATTCCTGGGCATGATTTTGAATGCCCGGAGCCAACTGTAGGCCACTTTTGTTCTTCGAGTTCATTTTGAATGCTGAGGCTGAGG